AAATTAATTAGAATTTGTCGGGTGTAGCTTTTGAACTTGGCACCATTTTTTTTCAATAAAAAGCACCTAACGATTCAAACACATTAGTTAAAGTAATTTAATCTTATATATAATATATATATAATATATGATTATATGAATTATATATATAATTTATATATATAATTTTCTTATTTTGAGAAAAAAAAAGTTGAATACGATCGAACAAATGGTTGTTCATATTCTGCTCGTTTAAAATTAGAGCTTTTCTTTTGGGTGTTCAGCTCGCCTACAAAACTAATGACGCAAATACGAGTCATTTAACGAACCGAACATGAGCTATTCGCAAACAACTAGCTTTTTTGACACCCATACTAATAATGTGTATAATTCAAGAGTTTGAATTCTCTTCATCAATAAATTAATCATTTTTAAAATTTAGACCGTTTAAATTAGTTTTTTTTGCAGAAGCAAAAAATATTGGGAAATCTACATATATATAACACAAATCTTATTCATTTACATATTTAATACTTAAGATTTAATATTTATATTTATAACCCTCTTGCCTTGACTCTATGTATAACAAATAAAATTGATATACTTAATGTGATAGTGAAGTATTTGATGTGATGTTTCACTTTTAACAAGTAAAAGCGATATATTTGATTTGTTATTAAAAATGTGAGTGATATGCATATAAATATCAAAGTTTAGAGGTAAAATATGTAAATAAATATGAATTGATGTAAATTCCAAAAAAAAATATTTAGAGTTAGAAATGGAGTCGGTGGAAAATGATTTTGGTTACCTTTTTGCTTTAAACTATCAGTTCCATTACAAATAAAATGAGCATGAATGAGAGCAAAATATAGGGCTTAATTTTTATGATAGTAAATATGAGTTCTAAGAAATCTATCTCTTTTAAGTGAACTAAAAGCTGAACTAAATAATAATGCAAAGAAGCATGATGAGATTAATATCTTTAGTATTAGCAAGATAATAGAAATGGAAAGATGAATGGACTCCTAAGAATGTACTTTATAGCTAATATAGTGCCTTTTTTTTTTGCTCTATTGACCACCTTTAATATATCATGATGCAAATTACTACAACATTATGGAAACTTTTTCATTTTTCAAGATAAATCATCTCAATTTCTCTTAATCACACATATACCCTATGATGTATAAATTCCCTGCAATAATGAATTGTGTCATGTTTGACTGAGGCTCTTGCTTGTCATGGTCTTCGTCTATATAAACACATGTTCTGCATGTCTAATTATATGAAATTAAAGAAAAAAACTGACACTCTTGTTCAACGCACATGTTTTGAATAATAAATATTAACTTTAAAAATATATTATATAAATAATTTGAACTAAATTTATATTAAAATATTTACTTTAATAATTTAATGGCCAATTCATATTAATTTTATTTTTTATTATTTATATGTTTTAGTAGTATTTATTTTTATTTTAATATGAAAATCAATTTTATCAACTTTATGCTAACATTTAGAATTATTTAACATTTAATTTAATAAAAAAATATTATTTCATAAATTATTTTTATTTTTACTTGTTTGTGTGTGTGTGTGTGTCTTAATGTGCTACATGCTAGGCTTGTAAGATGGTACAACCGACAAGATAGAATATAGTAAAAAAATTTAAAATAGTAATAGTTCGTAAGAAAGAAAATATAAATATTATTTCATTCTAAAGAGACAAAACAACAACTTGATCCCCGCAAAGAACCACCCAAATAGAACAGGGTAGCATAGCCCCACTCGAGCATCATCGTCCTCCCACACACACGCAGAGATCTCGACAAAAAACACTATAGCGCGGGCAAGTCTCTCGCCTAAGAGGTGCTATAAGAAGGCAGCTTGGGCAAAATCAAAGTGAGGAAGATAAAGGAGGTTAGGGAAAGTAAAAGGTTCCAATGTACTTAGCTAGAGAAGAGTGCTAAGGATACTTCTGTATTTTTTCTTTTCTTTCATGGTATTAGAGCCCAAAGCTTCGCAATAACTAATCAATGGATTCCCCAGGCTCCTCTAAGATCATAACAGGCTCCAATTTAACAGTCTCTCAATCACATGAAGGAAAGCTACATACCTACATCCCTCAAGTTTCTAATGTCAAATATCAAGACATTGGCAAGTTCGCCTCTCTAATATGACAATTATCAGGTATGGAAAACACAGATAAAAAAATCTCTTCAATGCAAATGGACTTGAATAATTCCTTCCAGAGAACTCCCCCATCCCACTAAAATTCATTAGAGATGAGTAAGAAAGCTCATCAAAAAATTCAAATTTCAAACTTTGGCACTTGGTCGATAAAAATCTCACAGCAGCAATATTATCAACGATATCCAAACCAATTCTACCAGATGTACTCAATCTCAACAGTATAATCGAGATATGGGTCACTCTCGAATGAAGATTTTAATCAACAAATAGATCTAGAGTGATCCAATTATAAAATGATTTTCACAACTTTGCAATAATAATTAAAACCATGTCTTAGTATTTAGCTAACATCAAAACAATCATTGATAGCATTGCAATCGCAGGAGCTAAGATCAACACAAAGGACATCATTCTATACACGCTCAATGGACTGTCACCTCAATTCGAAGGCTTCAAAACTGCCATTCGCACACAACTCAATCCAATCAAACTCAAGGAATTCTTTTCTCTCTTCAAAGCGAGAAATCAAACTTGCTCACTGAACAACTCAAACAACAACAAATCACATCCCTATACACCAACTCAACCGAAACCAACTCAACATACCCACCCAAAACAAACTATAAAAACACTCAACTACCACACTAACCCTCCAAAAACCACAACAACCCAAACAAAAACAAACAAACCATCACCTGTCAGTTATGCCTCAAACCAAAACACTCATCCTTTTAGTGTTGCCATAGAATCAATCTTCAGTATAAGCCCACCACAAACCAAAGCCACATAACCTACACAACAACCAACAATACCAACAATCAATGTTGGATTCTAGACACTGGTGCCTCCGCGCACCTCACACCGAACATATAAAACTTACAATCTCCACACTGATAAAATAAAACTTATTAGAAAAAGAACAAAAAAAAAAGGTAAGTAAATAAGTACTGATAAAATAAAACTTATTAGAAAAGAACAAAAAAAAAGGTAAGTAAATAAGTAAACAATCTAAACCCAAGAAAATATAACTAAAAGTAGCACATAAACATTAAAATACTGAAAAAAAGTTTAATGCCGGAAAATTTGCATTTGCTTCTATGGTAGAAGCCTGTCATATTTTTTTACGAGTGAGTTTGATATAACTCAAATCTAATAAGTTACTCATATTTATTAAAGTATAAATGATAAGGGGAATATATCAAGAATAATAATGGAGACACGGGCAATTATATGCTAACAGTATAACTAATACCATGCAATTAGCAAGTTAAAGGTGATCTCATTAGTAAAAGAGTGGCATGTTCTAAAAATCCTTTATGCATTTATCATTATGATCATATGTATATTAAGTTATAAATATACATCACTATGCCACTACGTAGAGTATATTCATATATGTCATATATATATATATATTAGATTTTGTGTCGATTACAAATGGTATGATGTTGGGTCGGATGGATTACGAAACCGTGGTTTAGTTGCACAACGGTGATTCAATTCTTTTTAAGTCTGATTCAGGTTTGTATATTATGCTGTCATGTTAAATACTTGATTGATTTATTTTTTCAATAATAAATGTGTTTAATATCTTGTCATAATGTGCACATATCTATGTGTTTGTATTGATGAGCCACATGTATAATATAATATATAGGCATACAAATGAGAGTGATAATAACTATTTAGTTACTAATATTTTCATTTTTTTCTAAATATTCTTTATGACGGTTCCTCATGTGACAAGTGTCCTATTAATATAGGTAAATAATTAGGTAAATAAATACATTAAAAGAACACATATTGTTGAACTCAAATTTATTTATTTGTAGGCTATGCCCAACTTTCATTGGCATTGAGGAGAAGAGGGGAAAAGACAGAAGAGCCGGTGGGGGGTGAGTCACCGAAGTTTAAACATTTGACCCATTTTAATAAATATTAGGATATTCTTTTGCCTTTGTTCAAGATTTAACAATAACCAAAAATATGTAAAAAATATGTAAATGAGCATCATATCATGCTAGATCCGATAAATTTTTTTGTTACATTTTGCATTTTTTTGTCACATTATGCAATTTTATGTCATATCATTCTCTACAACTCACATATCAACTTGATAAGTCAACTCGGCAAATTAACTACACACATCATTTTAGATGTATACACATATATAATTTGTATGCCAATATTAACAACACATGGTGAAAATTGAAAAAAAAAATGTTTATAGTTTATTTTCTTCATCTTTCTTTTCAAATTAAATTTCAGGCCTACTTGTTACATGTGGACAGATCACTCAAAAGTAAGAGAAAATATTGCATGAGTTACGTGTAGAGTCCAATAAAATCATGTCATGTGGCGGTGAAAGAAAAAATAAAATAAAATCTGTTCGGTACCACAAGGGAATATTTCTCATTTGTTATTCAAGTTTTATTGTGTATTATTCTGGTGTTATTGTGTGTTATTCAGATGTTATTGATATGTTATTGTGTTATTATAACACTGAAAATATTCTCAAAATACAATAACACCTGAATAACAAAAAATAACACGGGGGGAATATTCCCAAGTGTTATCGGTCCGATTTTTTTTTTCTGTCATATCCACGTGACTTGGTTTCATTAGACTCCGCACGTAACCCTAAACCTTAAACTCAAACTCTACGTGCGGAATCCTGATGCAATATTTTTTCCAACAGAGAGTGTAAGCTCTTTTTTCTTGCAAAGCAATACATTAATTCGCCTAATTAAAGTGAATCTCAAAGGCATTTATTTTGAATAAATTCTTTAAAAAGCGAAGCTTTTTCTAGAGTTCTGAAAGCAACAAGAGCCCGTCTCTTTCGTTGAGTCGCACCACCGCCAGCCAGCATATACTCAATTCTACAGTTTTTCCTCCCCCTTTTTCTCATGCCAATTACAGCGATTCCCTCAAAGAGCAACCAAACAAACCATCCATTTCACACTCCTCTCTTCATTTTTCTCTCAGCTTCCTCCCTCCACACACGCACACACACGCATCTCTAATTACACTTTATGTTTTATCAAAAATTGATTTTTTTAGTTCCTAATTGGTGCGCTAATTCCTGCAATTCCCTTTCTTCAAATCCTAACTTCTCTATATATCTCTTTTAAGCTGCATTTCATTTGCCTTCTCAAGGATAGCTATCACTTTCCCCTCACTCCGTCACATTTATTGCGTTTCTGAAGGAATCACTGGCAGGATTTGAACAATTTGAAAGCCCAAATATCTTCTCTCTCCCCCTCCCTCTCTCCCCCTCTCATCACTGTTCCTGCAGTTCTGTGCCTAAAAGTACTGACTGCTGTAGACTCCTTCTGGGCTCCCTACCATATTCGCCATTCCATTTACTCCGTTTTTTTCCTCACCAAGTTTCCCATAACAAAAGTGTCTGTTTTGTGATCCTGAAACAACTACTCTGTTTGGCTTACTGCACTGTTCAAAGATTTCTTCCGAAATGGTTTGTTGTTTTTGCTGTACTCTTCCTTCCATCCCTTTTCTTCTTCTATTAAACTCCCAGTTTCGAGCCGCACAAGCAACGTTCTAAAAACCTCCCTTTTCTTCCCCAAAGAAAGCTGCTTTCATGGAGTGGGATTCCAAAATGACTCTTTGGGCGTTGCCTGAATTGGAGCAGAATGATGCGGAGGCTACTTTAAGTCTGGATTGCTCCGTTGATCTAAAACTTGGGGGTTTGGGCGCCTTAGGATTAGCTGAGAGCTGGAAGCAGCAGCGAAGATCTTCCACCGCGAGCTCATCCAAGAGGCAACGGGCTCCCAGCAACAGTAATCAGACCGTTTTGTGCCTTGTCGACGACTGTAAATCTGATCTCAGTAGCTGTAAAGAGTATCACAGGAGACATAAGGTCTGCGAGCTTCATTCCAAGACTCCTGTAGTCATGGTGGGAGGCCAGGAGCAGAGATTCTGCCAGCAATGTAGCAGGTAATGGAACAGGTTTGAAAGAAACTGGTTTTGTTTTTACAGATTTGTTCTCATGATTATTTATTTATTTATTATTTGGGTTTTCACTTCTTTTGTTTAATCTTATATGTTCTGTTTCTGTCTGGGCCATTGATATTGATGCCTAATTCTTAAATTTCTCAAACTTTGATATGTGGCTACAGAATAACTAAGGTTTAATATTTGTTGCTAAGAATCTATTTAATTTTTTCTCATTTAGTTTTTTGAAAAATTAGCTTAATTTAATGCGAAAAAAGTTTTTATGAGGATGCAATCAAGTCTTATGAGTAATTTATATTATCCATTTGATACAAGTTTCTAACTCTGGTTTGCTATTACGATTCACATGTCCTTTCTGCTTGTTGGCTTTTTCAGGACAGGATGTTGACGCGGATTATGCTTCCCGTTCATGCTTTAAAATTCGTGCATCATAGTGTTAGTTTTAAGTGATAACTACTATAATTTTGCCAATTTAGTGGCCGAAAAGTTTTTTTTTCCCCCCACAATGATGTGGCAACGTGTGATCCACATAACTTTATAGTAGAGCAGGCCACAACATGGAACTTGAAAATAATAAAAAAGGGCCATTTACAGGCGTACCATCCAATTCCTATATTACCTATCTAACACCTAAATTTTGTTTTTTACATTTACACAACTCAATTCTTTCACACCATCATTTCAACTTTAAAAAGATGAACGCACTTTTTTGCATATATAATGCGGCACATATGTAAAAATTGATGTTTTGGTGTAAGACATGTAAATACATAAGAATTGAATGGTTTGTATGTAAATCTTCCTTTTTTAAAATTTTTCATTAGCTCAACTTTTTAAGGCTTTGGGGCTATATATTATTTGCTCTAGAAAGCTCATAAATTTATTTTTATTTTTTATTTTTTGAGTATATGTAAATATTTGTTACATTAAGGATTTAATTCAAAACTGATCTTTACCATTAAACTAGCTGACAATAGCTGAAAGAGATGATTGTCTCTCTAAACTGATTTGAGCCACATAGTTATCTATTGCTCTAAGAAAAAAAAAAGAAAAAAAGAAAGCTAGCTGACACCACTGGCTATTTTTTTTTTTTTTTTCAGATGGTGTGTGCTTTCGCAATCCATCTTTTACTTTTGCTGTTGCTGCATGTTTTCTCTCTTCCGACACTGATTTTGCTCTTTAAGAGACAAATAAATCTCTGCAAAATCTCCTCCTCTTATATGTTTCATGCTTTAATCGAAGTTGTAGCAATAAAATGTTTTTATTTTTCAGGTGGAAAGTAGCCTTTTTCCCCTTTTATTTGCTTCTCCGTCTCAGAATTATAAGCATAAGATATTGTAAATTTTGGATTTTTACATATATGCCCCCCCCCCCCTTATTTTAAAGCATGATATCTAGTTTCAAACAAACAAATGAGCCCTAATGATCTTTGCTTATGGTGTTAAATTGTTTAAATATGTTTCTTTCTTCTTAATTGAGTTAATGAAGTAAGGAAATGACCCATAATCTCATATCAACTCATGACATACTCTGTTCATTTATTTAATTTTTATTTCTTTTTTCTTTCTTTTCAAAGTCATAATGATACTTTTAATACCATGTCTTGCTCGATAGCTACAAGTCGGCACTACTTAATTCTAATTACCTCACATGAATCTTACTAAATTTTCACATTTCAGTGATTCAGCTGGTGCAGTTAAACTACTACTATGCTATCTTTTGTCTTATGTTATGCAATATTTAATTTTGAAATATGCAAGCATCTAATGTGATTTTAAGCTCATTCATGAGGTATCTAACAGTTGTATCTACTTTTTTTTTGTAATATTTCTTTTTCATGATTTTCTTCCTGTAAAATTTGCTAGCTTTTTTTGCAATTCTTCTTTCCTGTTTGTATCTGTTCATAAAAACAAAGAAACATTTGGAACTGTTCATCAATCCTTTCTGATTAAGTTTCAGAAGGTCATCAAGGATGGTTCTATGAAAGATTTAAATTATTTTTTAATATAATTTTGGGGCATTTACATACATAACACCTAATTGCTATGCCTTTACATATCTAACCACTATTTTAACTTTAAAAAGTGGAACACACCTTTGCATGCATAGTTCAGATGGTATATACCTGAAAATTGAAGTTTAGGTGTTAGATATGTAACACATAGAAATTCAGGGTTATGTCTGTAAATCTTCCTGACTTTCTTAGATGCAAAGATTTTCCTTATCTGGTGAGAAAATTTGCAATTTTCCTACCTGTTACTTGTAAGCTGACATGAAATGTTTCCTTAAAAAATCTATCTCAGACATTTGGGCTCTGCCTTCATCAATCTACTGTTTTTTCTTCATTATTTTCTAATAAAAAAAAACATCTATAGCAATCATGATGATTAGCTATTTTGCTCTGTATTAATCTTTTCGAATTGGTGTGTTTTTTTCGCTCGATAGATTCCACTTGCTGATGGAGTTTGATGAGGTAAAGCGAAGTTGTAGAAAACGACTCGACGGACATAACCGTCGTCGAAGAAAGCCACAGGTGGAGGCAACAAATGCTGGGAACTTGTACTCAACCCAACATGGTATGTTTTTGCACTTTTACCAAAAATTCCTTTATATCTCAACCAACCGCTTTGGGAAAATCTTGAGTTTAGTTCAACTAAGAAATGGAAGCCCTCACAAAAGTGGAAAATTGTTTGATAAAGTCTATTAATGTAAAAGTTGATGCATTTATGGGTTGTTTGATTTGTTGCATTTGGAATTAGTGTGAAGTAAATCTCTTTGTATTAGAGTTATAAAGGAAATGGACTCACTTGATTTCATGAACTTCAATCGAAATCAAATAGAAGAAAGGGTTAGTTACATATATATATAGCACCCGAAATAATGACATTTACAAAATTAATCAAGCACTCGGAAGATATTTTTGAACTATCGAACAAATATAATTACGCGTCCCATGATCAAACCATTGAGAATTTGATAAAAAATAAAAATATGAGTTTCGGTTTTATCATGATAAAATTTTATTTTTGAGTGAGAATTTGAAAAATGAATGAAAGAAGGTGTTGGATTTGTAAATAGCAATGTTTCGGGTGCTAGATACTTTAGATCCAAATTTCTACTTTACAACAAGTTTTCACCAAACAAGTATGCTTTTTCTTTCTACTTTGGACTTGCACTAATAGAATTTTTGGTTGGACCTTTTTAATGGAATATTTGCATTCACGCCACTCAATTCTTATGTAATTACATTTCTAAAACCTAAACTTTAGTTTTTACAGACATGCCACATTATCTATGCATGGAAAGATGTATTTCACATTTTAAAAGTTAAAATGTTAGTATTTTTGGTGTGATATGAGTTGGGTGGTGTAAATGTATAAAGTAAAGTTTAGGCATTATATATATAAATAAATAGGACATGGGTGGTATTTATGTAAATGCTCCTATTTTTTTTAGAGGTGAGACTAAATATCAATCTTTAATCAATAGTTTTGTCATAAGTTGTCTTATAAGTACCTTTAAATGCACATCACTTCGTGCCATGTGGTTCGAGGGCTTTGGCTCGCATCACGGAAGGAGTTTGATCATGCTAACTGAATAAAGAAAAATTAACAATGAGATAAATCGCAAACACAAATCAAGAGACACCTAGATTTATGGAAAAGAGAATTATGGGCAGAGGAGCCGAATTCACTGTAATAAAGAGTAAATGAGCTAGTGACACGCAAAACATCAACAAAAACTTAGTTACTCGAATATTGATTTGTGTTTTTGGAAAATAATTAGGGTGGGGCTACAGTTTGTTAACCCTCGACAAATCATTTATGGACCCATGCTTGAGCCTATCCTTCCTCTATCACCATAAATCCCTCCAAAACTTTTCCATAATTTAGGAAAATTTACATAAGTAGCACACAATTCTTATGTATATCCACGTCTCAAATCTAACTTTCATATTTTCATACATAGCACTTTGATGCTTTAAATCTATGCACGAAGATGTGCATTTAACTTTTAAAAAGTGATGATAGTGTTATTTTTGATGTAGTATTAAACATTTGAGTGCTATGTTTGTAGATATGAAAGTTTGGGCGTGAGATAGGTAAATAAATAAGAATTGTGTGTTGCTTATGTAAATGCCTCTTTTTTTATTCAAGCCCGATAGAAATTGGGTCACAAGCCCTAAGACTAAATGCCAACAAATATGAATTTGGGCAACAATATGTTCTTGTTTGGTAATATAGTTTTAATGGGATTTAGTCATAGATTTAACCTAAATTCAGCAAAATATAAGAAAAAAGAAAATTAAATCCAACGCCCCCATTAAATCAAATTTGTTCGTGAACCATCTTCTCTTCATGTGTTCCATCTCTTTCATGATGTAAATCCAAATTTTACTAAATCCGATTGTGAGGCGGAGTTAATAATTTCTTCCTCCGTCGCATAGAGTATCAGATTTATTGGATTTGTTAATATTTAACGTAAATTCAGGTTGTAGCTAAACACCGCCTAAATTTTTTTAACTATAACATCTTTCATGAACCTCAGGATCCAGGTTCACATCCTACCCCCAAAATTTTGCGAGTGCCGGAATAGACCCAGCATGGTCTAGCATGGTTAAACTCGAGGAAGGCACACTCTACCCCATGCTCCCACCGCCGATAAACCACTTCGTCGACAGGGTTCAACAGCCTCCATCCCATCATTTCGCCGCTACCTTCGATCCAAACTACAAAGAAGACAAGCAATTCTTCCTCCACGACCACACCAGCAGGATGGCAATTGAGCCAACCACCGCCTGCCAGCCACTCCTCAACACCATCTCTTCCGCAGCAGAGAGCAGCAGCAATGGTTTAATGTTCTCAGATCGATTATCTCAGGTCTTCGACTCCGACTGTGCTCTCTCTCTTCTGTCATCCTCCGCGCAGACCTCAGGCATCAACCAAAGCCATATGGGCCAGCCTTTGCTCTCCAACCTGCACTATGGTGGATACTCCCACTCTCCGATGGAGGAAGAGCATGTAGGAACTGTTCTGGTTCCAGATTCCGGCGAAACTGATCTTCACTGTCAAAGCATGTTTCAGGTTGGGGACGAGGAGGGCTCAGATTGTGGATCCGAGTCTATTCCCTTTTCATGGCAGTAGGAGATTAGATAGTTGTAATCATTTTGGTTTCAGGTTTCAGCTTTTAGTAGTTGTGTTTTTGTTTGGCTGACTATTCTTAGAATGGACAGGAGTTGTTAATGATTGTTTCCTTTCTATTGCTGTAACGTAACAAATTGATGATCATGTTTCAAGGCATGGATGTATAAATTGAAGTAAATTTGCTCTTGCATTGATTGTTCACAGATTGTTTGTGCATTGTTTGAGTGATGAGTGTTTCAGTTGAAGGTTGGCAAGACTTTGTTCATGTTAGAAATTAGATATTAGTGTGTATGTTGAATGTGGATCTCCCAGTTGGAGAGATCTTTTAACAATTCCTTTATAAGTTAAGCACAGTGCCAATGATTTTTAGCAATCGAATTGTGGGAATGGATTTTCAAATAAAGTTGGTGATCCTTTGTATGGCAACTCAATCCCCACTAAGGCATCATTTGGTTGGATGTGGAAAAAATATTTTTTTATAATGTGAAGCTTAGATTTGAGAAGTAATTAAGCATTAAGATACTTTATGAAGGAAACCAACAGTAAAGTAAAGGATGTAAAAGAGATTTACTACACAACAAAATGTAAGAATTAAAAGTTTCAGTTTTGTGGCCTAAGATACACTGTAAGAAGAGGGAAGCAGAATTCAAAAAAAAAAAAAAAATATATATATATATATAT